CAATTTAGTGTAACAATAGATTCAGGCTGTCGTTTTCAGCATCTGCAGCTTTACATAAATGCAAAGTTAGCAGCAGCCTTAGAGCCACAGCAGGAGCTAGGAATATGGGAAATATATCAGCCAAATTCCCGTAAACGTTCACTGGTCCAAACGAAAGTCAGTCTGCAGCAGAACAATGGAAACATTTGCAAATACAGCAGGAATCTGACTGGACGGGCATTTCCTGTTACGTGTTTCTGTTATATAACTCATCTGCATCTGAACAAGAGCATAAAATTATAAATATTAAGGAGACAAATTTCCTTTAATATCACAAAACTTTTATGGAAGAAAATTGGAAAGTACCAAAAGTTTCTTTCTGGCTGAAAACACCTGATCTGTGTGTTGCTGGGTGGCAGGAGTGAAACCTAACTCACACTCTGACCACACCTAGTACATATTGTCTATAACCTAAAGACAAGGACGAGCAACAGCACATGAAACAAAACTGAAAGAAAGACGTCTACTGTTAAAAGAAGCAGAGTGAGGCACGGACTCCATTCTTGGACCAACCTGCAGAGAGGTACGTGGACTCAAACAAAGTCTGAATGTTTACAGTGAATGTTGTCTGTGTGTATGAGGACATATTTAGACTCCACTGTGAACTTCCTGACTAATAAAAGCAGATTTGTGCCAGTTTAATCAGGACTAAACGATCCAGTGAGAAGCTGCAGAAAAATGTAACTTAGCAAACCTGAGCTGGTTTTAAATTGTACTTAATGGCAACCGTTTCAATGAGTTCAGTGTTCGAAAACTGTCATTTGACAGACTTTTACACCTATTATATTCACATTTTTGCCATAAAAACATTACAATATTTTGGTATCAGTTGCTCAACTTTAAGGTCACACTGTTTTAAATTTCAAATATAGCAAAAATGTATTTATTTGTATTTTTACTTTGAGTTAATCAAAGTAATTTGGTTCTTAGCGGGTCCTAAAATGATTTATAGCCTCAGATGAACAGAAAATTAAGTGAGACTGCACAGTGTGGAAATCTAACTACACTCTATCATTCAGGAGCTTTTTGAGGGGTCAGAGGTCAGACTGTCATTTATTCTGCACTTGATAAGATTCAAGCACAGCTTTTAATGCACAGGCTTTTGGATCAGTGTGACTCGAGTAAAAATCTTTCTGGATGACTTCCTAACTAACAGAACCCAGAGAGTAAACAGTGTTGTGTCTGAGCAGGTTGTGACATCGACTGGTTCAGCAGGATGTTCTGTCCCCTGCTGTTGGTGATTCTGTACACAAACCTGTGTCGAAGCACATCTGACAGTAAAACCATTTGAAAGTATGCAAATAACACAGTTATTGTTGGGTGTTTGCACGGCAGCAAAAACCAGCCACAGACTTGTTGTTGAGCCCTGATCACTGATCTCCAGCTGTTTGTTTTTAGAGAGAAGAGGCTTCGTCCTCTTTTTCTAATTATACTGTCATGAACTTTAACCTTTAACATGCTAACTCAGGCCTGTAGAGTCACATGGGCTGAATTTGCTTGGACGTTCACTGAGGAAAATTCTTAATTTTATAGCTAATCTTATCTGTTTTGTCTTATTGGCACTGATGTCAGTAACATATTTTTTCTACAGGGACACTGACACCAACATCTGGATCTGAAAAATGAGCTTCAAGTGGGCTGAAGATGACTTTTTGCCTCCAGGCGTGGTTCGAATGGACCGTGAAGGACCAAGAGATGGTAGAACCTACGTCATGTACCACGGCACTACCAGTAATAGTGCTCGATTGATCTTGGCTTCAGGTTTTCGCCAGTCTTCAGTTGGGATGCTCGGTCCAGGGGTCTACCTCAGCAGAGACCTGGAGAAAGCGAGTCGCTATCCCATCGATCATCCTGAGGATGACAGGGTTGTCATTAAGGTTAAGGTCAACGTGGGAAAGGTTAAAGCCATAGATCGTCAGAACCACCCACTTCAGAAGACCTGGCATAACCACGGATACGACACCGCCTGGGTGCCGCCCGGCTGTGGGATGGTGAAGAGCGGCCTGGAGGAGAATTGTGTCTGGGACCCGAATCGAATCTCAATCATCGGCACCATTGAACCAAAACCTGTCCAGCGCGCTGGAGGCAGCGCATGGGGTTACAAGTAAACTCAGAGCAGGTTCTGATTATTTTGTACGTTCAAATGTATTTTTATATATTTGGATAAGAAATCATAAAATGACATATTTTGTAACCATGTCAGTGTAACCTGAAAAATAAACGTGCCATAGAAATGACTTTACTGTGTTCATTGCAATATTTATATGTAAATAATTAATTATTCCATATTTGTATGCATAAAAAACACCGAAAACACATCAGACGTCTAAACTGAGACATTTTACTGTTTAATTAAAAAAAATTGTTGGAATTTGATGACAACAACACAGCTAAAAACAACTGGGATGGAGGAAACAAAGGCCTGGAAAAATAAATGGTGGTAAAGAGAAACAACAAGAGCAACAGTTTGCAGCTGAGAGTTGCAGTGGATCTAAGGAGCAGATTTGCTGGTTCATGAAAAAAAAAAGTGGCCACCAGGGGGCACTGGTTAGAATGAAACTCCTTTATTGAAATTGCACTGACACCATGCTTTATACTGTGTATATATACAGTATGCAGTTGGTATAAAGTTGGAATTCAGTGAATTAATCATCATCAGCTTAAATGCAAATTCTTCTGCGCTACACTTAAAGTAACCTAAATCTGACCATGAGCACCAGAGCCACTGAGCACCAGCACAACAGTGTTTTACTTTGAATTCTCAACATTAAAGCAAACTAACCTGTTTGTCCTCCACAAACCTGCTCTGTATTTTCATGCAACATTTGAATAATACAAAGTCAGTAAAGCTTAGTTTGTTTCACAGGACACGATATAAAAATCAGAATTTTTCAAAACACATCATATACAAATCCAATGTGATTAATATGATGACATCACATGTAAGCTTTAAATCTGCACTTTATCAAGTGCAGTCCGCACCTTTAAATCTAACCTCTCTTCTTCACACACACTGTGAGACAAACTGCACACAAACAGTTACTCCCTTTATGCTCGCTGCTCTTAGTAGTGCTGCATGCCGCCAACAGTCTCCTCAGGCAGTTTTGATTGGCTGTCATTTAACAGCAGATTTTGCCTATGGGAGGAGGCTGCCCTTCATCTCATAAAGATTCATAGAAGTAAATATGTGCAGGGGTTCATCAATCTCCAAAAGGAACAAAAAGTGTCTGCAAGTTACAGAGCTGTTTTTAAAATAATCCTCCTCAATCTAAAACTGTGAATACTTTGAATATGTCATCATGTGCAGTGCACAGAAATCCTGGATGCATATGAAAGACCTGTGAAAAACATCTTTGGCAGTATTTGAGAAGCACTCAGACTTTAAATTCAGGATTATTTAACTCTGATAAGATTAAAGCTGAGACTTGGCACTTTAACACTATCTCTACTTTCAAGATTAGGCTTCAAACTTTCCTTTTTGCTAAAGCATATAGTTAGGGCTGGACCAG